CTTCTCGATGAGGACCCCACCGCAGTGGATGTTCTTCTGAGGGCCCAGGAGGACAACCTGGTAGGGGTGACGCTTCTTCTGGCAGCTCTGGCCCCCCACGATCCGGTTCTCGTCCCCCATGGCCGCTGCGGGCCAGGAGACAGGGCTCCCTCAGAACCTCCCAGTAGCTCCCAGTTCCTTCCCAGTAGCTCCCAGTTCCTTCCCAGCTGCTCCCAGTACCTCCCAGTTGCCTTCTAGAAGGTCCTCTAGGCCACCCAGCACCTCCTCATGTCATGCCCCATGTCCTCCCAGCTCTTCCTCTCCCTCCCAGTGTTCCCAGTCCCCACCTACCACTTCCCAGTATCTCCCAGTTTCTTCCCAGCCAGTGCCTCCCAGTTCCTTCCCAGTTGCCTTCTAGGAGGTCCTCTAGGCCATCCAGCTCCTCCCTGTGTCACCCTCGTGTCCTCCCTGCTCTTCCTCTCCCCCCCAGTGTGCCCAGTGACCTTCCACTTCCCACCCACTGTCTCCCAGTTCCTTTGCAGTAGCTCCCAGTACCTCCCAGTTCTGTCTCAGTAGCTCTCAGTACCTCCCAGTTGACTCCTAGGAGGTCCCCTGGGCCACCCAGCATCTCCCCGTGTCACCCTGTGTCCTCCAGACTCTTCCTCTCCCTCCCAGTGTCCCCAGTAACCTCCCAGTTCCCATCTGTTGCCTGCCAATATCTCCCAATACCTCCCAGTTCCTTCCCAGTTGTCTCCTAGGAGGTCTTCTGGGCCACCCAGCATCTCCTCGTGTCACCCCCGTGTCCTCCAAACTCTTCCTCTCCCTCCCAGTGTCCACAGTGACCTCCCAGTTCCCACCTGCTGCTTACCAGTATCTCCCAATTCTCTTCCAGCTCCTTCTCAGTATCTCCCAGTACCTCCCAGTTCCTTCCCAGTTGACTCCCAGGAGGTGTCCTGGACCACCGAGCACCTCCCTGTGTCACTCCCATGTCCTCCAGACTCTCTCTCCCTCCCAGTGTTCACAGTGACCTCCCAATTCCCACCTGCTGCCTACCAGTATCTCCCAATTCCTTCTCAGTATCTCCCAGTACCTCCCAGTTCCTTCCCAGTTGACTCCCAGGAGGTGTCCTGGACCACCGAGCACCTCCCTGTGTCACTCCCATGTCCTCCAGACTCTTTCTCTCCCTCCCAGTATCCCCAGTGACCTCCCAGTTCCCACCTGCTGCCTCCCAGTATGTCCCAGTGACTCCCAGTTCATTTCTAGTTCCTTCCCAGTATCTCCCAGTTCCTTCCCAGTTGGTCTCCTGGGCTACGCAGCCCCTCCCCATGTCCCCCTCGTGTTCTCCAGCCTCTTCCTCTCCCTCCCAGTATCTCCCAGTCCCCTCCCATTATTTGCCAGTCCCCTCCCAGCACCATCCCAGTCTCTCCCAGTCCCCTCCCAGTCTCTCCCAGTCCCCCTC